AAAATGATGGTTTAATATTAGATAATTTTAGGCAGAAGATAGAGGTTTGTTTTTATTCATCATGTACCTGAACAATTTTTTGTATTTAACAGTGTTTCTTCTAGTCAGAGCATCAACCCAATCTTGCTTCTACTGGAGCTAGAAATACAAGGTTCTTTTCTTTTTTTTTAAGCTCTCATACTGGATCTCAGACTTTGTAGTATATCAAATATTGGGCAATAACTTAAAGATGTTGAGGTTTCCTTTGACTCCTTTTTCTTCTGCTCTGTTATTAGACTTAGCAAGTTTTTGTTTTATCTTCCCAGGAGTAGTGAAGAAGTTCTGACGGCAGAAGACTGTGAAAATGTCTACCATCTAGTTTACTCAGCTCATCGACCAGTAGCAGTAGCAGCTGGGGAATTTCTTTATAAAAAGTAAGTGTAATACATGGTTAACTTTTATGTTGATCACCTTTCTTTAAGGGCAGTATTCAGCATTTATTAATATCAAGGATATTGTTTTGCTTTTTAATTGGGAACAGAAAATTGTTTTAGTAAAGAAGTATCAGTGCAAGATGCTTGTGTTTTAAAATATGGTATCATTGTTAGAGTTACTGCATTGTTCATAAAATGGCAATGATCAGTAGTAATGAGAGCTACATTTAAAAAAACAAACAAAACAAGACATTTTGACTAAACACAGAAGAATCGAGCTCTGTCACAGCTGCTATCTGAACTCTGCTACACTAGAGCCCTCAGGCTGTAAAGACCTCCATATGAAATATTCCAGAGAATTTTAAAAACACTTTTTATAAAATGTCTTATTTTTATCATGTAGCATACACGCAAAGCCTACTCTTGTAGGATTTCTTCAGGGCCTTTCTCATAGTTTTTACACCTGTGCTATGGCTGTCCCAACTAAATCATGCTAATCAGTGCATTGCACCCTGATTTTTGTTTATTAAATATAAGGAAAACTATATCATGTCTGAGAGCAGAGACTTTTTTTTTCTGGATGTACCAGGAATCGGTTTCTTTACCTCTCATCCGTCTTATTTGGATTAAAAGTTCTCTCTGGCCCTTGCTACATTATGGATATTATTAATTGACTAGTTCATTAGGCAATAAAGTTAGGTTAGCCACACATGCCAAGTAATTTATCAGATGATAAAAATGACAATCCAGCTATAAAAAGAGCCAACCAGCCATAAAGTTAGGGCTTGAAAATGTGTAACAACTCTATACCAGGTTTCTGTCCAACTTTTAATTTGAATGTATAGCAGGACCCTCTGTAGTCTTGGTATTATGTATATGCCGCATCTTGTGCTTTATCCTGCTCATGTAGGCATCCATTTTTTCTCCTTTCTGAATGAAGCCACTTAAGGGGCTATAAAATATCTATCCACCAATTTGTAATACTGTAAAGCAAGAGGATTTGACTTGGGCCCTTAACAAGCTGAGAGGGAGGGCTGTCTTCTGGCTCCTCTATAATGTATATTATGTTGTGGCCTTTGCTGGGATGGACAAGTGTATAGGCCAGGTATAGAAGAGTAAGATGTGCACACACGATACGTACAAATAAAGATAAAATTTCACTGTGTTCTGTTAATGTACTTGTAGAACTATTGCAAGGCAGTAACTAAGCAGAGGTTACTTCTGTTATGCGCTCTTAAGTTTTCTGTAAATTTGAGCCGTTTGGCTTCAGAGATCATAAAAATGGATTAACCTATTGGACATGTTGTGGTCAGGAGAATCAGTGCCATGAAGACTTAGACCTAAATCTGGCAAAGACCTGTGATACTTGCCCAAATTCAAAACACAATGTCAGGGATAAATCGTATGTTTAAAGCTGCAGTAGTCAAATGCTTGAAGAGGAGCATTTGCCAAAGCCTGCGACTTGGATTCCATGCCACAAAGGAACTCAATAGTCATTTTTAAAACTTACAGAGCTGCCAATTGGAACTTAAGGTATGCTTTTTCAAAAGCCTCATTACTAGTTTGTAATGCTAGGTGCTTGTTCCAGGAAAAATACCTTTTGCAAAACATTTTACTCAGAAGCTATATTGGAGGCTAATCTCAGAAAAGTAGATAGCAGAACTTCAGTCTTTGTCTTCATTGCTTCTTATTATCTTCTACAGAGGGTTCTGCAAAGGGCAGTTTTATGAGTAAGGAAGCGAGACTTCGTTCCTGTTCATGAAGTGTGCAGATATATACTTATCTATCTTTTTCTCTTAAAATGTTGTGGTTGCCCTAGGATCTGTCTAAAGGACCCAGTGAAATCAAAATGAAGTAAATGTAGAACAAATCTGAAAGTAGCTGATTTGAGAAATCCTCCCCTTCTTAATATAACGTAGGTCCACACAACAAAACATTAAACATTTCATATCCAGACACTTACGTGTCCGACAGTGATTGTGGCAATGGTTATGAAGGATTGAATAGGTTTAAAACAATTTTTTTCTTAGGCTTTTCAGTCGCAGAGATCCTGAAGATGATGGAATGTTGAAAAGAAGGGGGAGACAAGGTCCAAATGCAAATCTTGTCAAGACATTAGTGTTTTTCTTTCTGGAAAGCGAAGTAAGTTGAATTTCATACTTTTTCTACGTCACTTGAGAGATTCATTCTTTCTTGAAGCATGCCCATATTAATTTCTTTATATCATGTTTCTTTGGGAAATGACACACTCATTCTGTATAGCGTAACACATCTTTTGAATGATCTGTAGAGTACAACAAACCAGCTTGCCCAGGCAGACAGCAAGTCTGAAGTCTGAAACAGTATCTGAAATATTTCTCTGTCTATAAGAGCATCAACAACAGGATGAATTAAAAGTTGCTCTTTGGGGACCATGCTAATATTGTATAAAAGATTTATTATAACAAAATAAAATCAAAAGTCACCTACAAAAAAGTAATGTAGTACAGAAGATACAAATTACAAAATAACCCAACAGAGTGAATTAAGCATCTAGTCTATTCTAGAAGGTGGTTAGTGCCTTGTGTAAGTGAAAAAGGGTTAATGGTGCACTTTCAGGTACAGATTTAGTCAGGAAAATTAGGGACGTAGTCAGTATGTGCTCACATACCGGTTTGAATACAGACTGGTCTCACAGTTTGCATTCTGCTGCTTTAAACTCTTTCCAGACAGCCCCTGTTGGTGTTTTAGCAACTTTGGAGTCAAACACAAAATAAAAGCTAGCATAAAAATGTGTTTTTCTTTTAAAAGTACTGCATTTAATACTCTGTTCAGCAGTATCTCTGCATGCATCTGTCACAGAGTTAAAAATATGTGTGTGTTCTGTACTGGCAAAGGAGGCTTATTGTTGTATAGCTACTTTCATAGATAACTGTCCTGTTGACTGAATATAATTGTGTTGTTTTCTGGGGTGTTTTCTTCAGTTACATGAGCATGCTGCGTATCTTGTGGATAGCATGTGGGACTGTGCAACAGACCTCCTGAAGGACTGGGAATGTATGAATAGTCTTCTGTTGGAGGAACCACTCAATGGGGAGGAGCGTAAGAGATTTCAATATAACTTACTGTCCCAACTAATATGTAATTTTTCAGTATTTGGTATACTTAAGTTCCTCAAACTAACTTACCTGAACTTCAGCTTAATTTAAGCAGAGTATAAATAAATTTAGGTACTTTCTATCCAGATTACTGAGAGTAATTATAGTCACAGTATAGCCCATACTAGCTAAAATTACAGCCTCTTGGAGAAGATTTTTATTCATACCAGAATTTTAACTCTTGAATTTTGGGACCCACTGTTCCCTTTACTGAAGTTTTATAATATAGCAAAGATTTCTATGCTCTTCAGCAAAAGATAAAAATATTTTAAAAGAGTAGTTATCTTTGTAACTGAATATGGAAAATCCATTGTTTCAAAGTCAGTTGCTGATGCTAGCCTGGAATAATAATGTGTGCGTGCCTCCTTGTTTTGAAGACAGAAAGTGTTTAAATGTTGATCTCCTGTTCATATGTATGTTACTCCACACGACCCAGAACGGGAGCATATCGGGAAAATCGCACAAATTTCAGCTTTCCCTGATAAAGATGTGGGCCGTGTCCAGAAGCGTGCAGCTGTGCAGTATGTTCAGTTGTTCTCTTAACTGCAAGGGAGCAGCAGGGGTAGGGGCAACCCCTGGATATCCAGTGGTCAAAAAAAAACCCATGGGAAAAAAGTGGAGAGGTATACGTGGGGGCAGCGTGCGCCACTCAAAATGGGAGTCTGGCCAGCTGCAGCTATGCCGTGGCTGCTGGCCAGGCTCTGCACAGCAGGATCGCTGCTGCTTCAGCCCTGTCAGGCCCCCAGATAAGGCTGCTAGGGCCAGCCCAGTGCTGGCCCCAGCCTCCCCTCCCCCACCCAGGGTAACCTGCCACATGCCAGAGGGTGCATGTCACAGGCATTCCCAGGGACAGCTAGCAGTGGCCCAAGGTGCGCTGCTGCTACTTGCCCCCAGGGAATCAAATGCCCATGAACGTGC